CCACACGAGCAGATTGGAATCGCTGTACACCCATGGCAACGAGATCAAGGACTTCAACGTATCCAAAGATCTGTTCGCGCAGATTCAAGGGCTTACAGCGTTCATCATTACGATTGGATCCCCATGGAGCTCTGCAGGCGGTGGGTCCATACCTAAGGACATGGATTCGGCCGACAGGGACAGGGACATGGACATTGACGAGCGGCTTTTGTGCCAAACACCCGATGACATGGACAGCGCGGTTGCGGTTGTCGATTAAAATCCGCTACCTTGACCCCGTCTCATAAGTAGTTCGTTCCAGTGGTCTTGCCCAATTCCTACGCTTCAAAGCCTCTCTCGATCCAGAAAATACATCATTAGTCGAGTTCACAATGCGCGTCACTGCTGTCGATCTTGTTGCCCTCATAGACAACTCGCCGCGGGTGCTCCTGCGTCCTAAACTGATGATACTGTCGGCGCTGCCGGGACCGATGCTGATATTCGACGCGGACTCCAACACCTCGACTGGATGAGCTGCTTCGTCCCCGCCTAGTAGTTGTGGTTTCAGTTATTGATACAGGAGTATCATTAACCAGGAGTCTCTAGCAAAGACGACAGTTTTTTTAATAGTGAAAAATTATTGGTCTAAAATACGATTTTACACAATGCTGTGAACTTGTCGATCCGATCCGATTGAATCGGATCGGATCGAAAGTGATCGATAGATCAGCCAATCGGATCACAATCGATCATGATCGGATTCGATCGAATCGATCGATCGGATTTCATTTTTGCAACCCATCCCTATCTATTACTGTAAACTTATACAAGTATACTAAATATCTATAAACTTATACAAATTTAGTCTGAGAGACTCTTAAGCTGTTTGATAATCGAAGGATTGTCATTGCCCAATTCAAGTTCCCCTTTAAGCTGATCATACTCAGCTCTAAGAGAGTCTAGTGGATCTTCAAGATGGCCATGGAAATTGTACTGAAGATGTGTAATCGCAAGGATCTCTTTGAAAAGCTTCTTATCACCAATATCGAGCTTGTCATACACCCCTTGATCAATATGTTGCTTGAACGTAAACGGTCGAATCATTGCTTGGAGCTGTTCGCTAATGGCTCGCTTGGACCGCATTTCCGTCTGTTAGGCTGAACGATGACAAGCATCTTAGAGTCAAGATCAGGGATACGAATATACTTACTTCCGAGCTGACGATAAGCATATGCCGATGGAGTAGCAAGACCTTGAATCTCATTGAGGTTGTAGGTTCGGCCCCGACGCACTACCCCTTCAAGTGGCTTAGCACCAGCGCCCATGAGACCTCTCCCAGTGAGCTTTCCACTAGTTGCATAGTGAAATCAAGTCAAAATGGTGTCCCAAAGTTTGTCGCGGTGCATTTTGCCGTCAGTTGTATGCCAGCCATCCGTAGTTCTCCGAAATCTAGGTCAGCGTCACAAGTCTCTTATTAGCCTATCCAACAGCAGAAACATATCTAAATAGGACCTCCTAATTCTTTCTAGAAGCCGAGATATAGCCTAAAACCTCACTGTCCCAAAGGTTTTGTCGCTGAGTGTACGTGCCAACCGAGAGCTCTGGGACTTCACATCTCTGTTGGGGTTCCATGAGGCGGCCGATGAAGACGCAGAGTAGATGAAAGTCACTCAAGAAGTGGTGCCTCTTATAGTTGATATTGTTTTCAATCATAAAATATAGGAGGTCGAAAACTTTCATACGCAAAAACCATATCCGCTGGTGGACTGTCTTGCAGTCGCAGGCGCATTTTTGTTTGCTAGAGTACCCCTAAGCCAGGACAAAAGTCCCGGTGTCAGCCACCAGCTTCTCGTACAGGTGTGGGACTCGAATCCTGCCCAGTGGATTGGTAGGGTCATCCCAAACCACTGCACCGTTCTGACACTGCCAATTTTGTACAATAATTGCAATACTTATTATTGTTTTTGTCGATACGGAATTACGGATTAAGTTTTTTTTAGAAATCCAATACATTTTTTATTTTATTTTCCGAGCCTTGTTCCTACCCCCAATCACCCAGCCGCTGTCAGAACCATTTTATTCGAGCCACCCGTAGCCCAATAGAGTCCGGCAGGATAAACTCCGTGGCTAATACCACCTATACCCATCTCCCATTGCGAAAAGTTAGTCCCAGTCAGCGAAAGCCGGCAAACCCCATTTGAAGCTGATGAATTGTTATTTAACTCTAGAAGAGTGCTATTTGATCCTACTATCGAGAATCCTGACATACTATAAGTGTTATTACCGTTTAAAGTCATCTGGAAGCCACTACTAGGAGTCAATGTATTAACACATACTCTTCCATATCGATCAAGGAGTAAATTCAATGCAGCGATAGCCGATGTCGAAGAGTTATTACATGCGATGTTGATAGCTGCATGATCCGTCGATAATTGAGTGTAATCGCCTGTTCCCCAGCTGTAATTGTTATAGTACCAGCCCTCGGCGATGTTAGTTGAATACAGAGAGCCACCGACTAATTGGTTCCTGAGCGCCAACCCAGCCCATGCTCCAGCTGATGAAGTTCTCTGAAA